TTTTTTTTTTTTTTTTTTTTTTTTTTTTTTGTGGTACCAGGGATCGAACTCGGGCCCTTGCACTTGCAAGGCAGGCAGTAGAACCACAGCCAAATCCCCAGCTCTTTTCCATGCTTTGAGGTAGGGTCTCACTATGTAGTCCAGGCTGGCCTCAAACTCTTGATGCTCTTTCACATCAGCCTCATGAGTACTGGAATTACAGCCATGTACCACCATGCCTAGCCCCTATATGTTTTTATAGCGAAAGTCTTTATAAGGAAGACGCTGAAGGCTGTCAAGTTGTTAACAGCAAAATCCTTTAAAACTTTTAGTCATATAGCGAAGAGTGTTGACCATATCTATACATGCAAACTTCTGCCATCATGCTCTGAATTATTCCTCTGTACCTGCCTCCCCTTTAGTTTATCGTGGTATAGAGGTATAACTACTCCAGAACATTTTTTAAAAATTCTGAGCCTCATTTTCATCTCTCTCATCACTGATGCCATTCTAAAGTTGAATGATGTGTAAAGAGCTGCAATTTCCTTTATGAAGAATTAGTTTGGTTTATAACCAGAGTAGACAGGCACCTTCTCTGCCATACTTTGCCTGTTCTTTCTTTCTGAATGCTATTAATATCTACGATTTAAGATTTTTCTGGATTACCTGCTCCAGAGGCAGTTGCAATCCTGCCCAGTCCCTCTTAAAATTTACTGGGCACAGGCAGGGATTTGGCTCAGTGGCACTGCACCTGCCTCACAAGTGCAAGGTCCTGAGTTCGATCCCTGGTACCGAAAAACAAACTGACAAAAATTTACTCTAGGGGCTGGCAATGTGGCTCGGTGGTAAAGCACATGCTCAGCATGTGAGAGGCCCAGGACAGATATAAATAAGGAAGTAAGAATTTAAGTCTGTATCTTCTGTTTTTGAGATGGCAATACTTTGTCTCCTCATCACTAAACATCAGATCCATAAGAAGACCTCAGTAAATTTTTTTGAGGGGATACCAGGGATTGAACTCCAGTCCTTGTGCTTGCAAGGCAGGTGGCGGAACCACTGTCCTAAATCCCCGGCCCCCTCAGTAAATATGGGCAGTTACCTCTTAAAACCATTTTTAATACCTCTAGCTAAAGTTTAAAATCCCAGGTGAATCTTTTTAGTCCTGTAAACTTTACTAGTTTGAAGTGGTAGTGAAATACTGTAAAAGCTTCCTTTTGTTAGTTTCTAGGGCACACTGTTCTGTATATGAAGGCTTGAGTCCTGTTATATTATTTCCAAAACCTTGGCCCTCTATCCATTTTTTAACTTCCAAAAAGAATGACCTGAATTGTTTAGTCCTGTGTGATGTTCTTTGTGCTTTGGGATCCCATATGGGTTTGGAGGCCCCAGCACACTCTGAAGGAGGTTGTTGTCATGGTGTTTCTATGCTAATCAGAAGCAGGAAGTACTAGAAATCTTGAAGAGTCTCCAGCCAAATGTTGCAGATTCAAGAGGTCCAGATGGTTCAGAAAATCATCCAAATTATTGGTGTTTATCTGAACCAAACTTGGTTTTTTTAAACCTCCTTCCATCACTCGCTATATGTTAACGATCTCTCTCTTTCAGCACATCTTGGAAGCTCTTGTCCTTTTGTCTTGTCTCTGTGAAGGCTAATTTAGAGAGTTGGGAGTAACGTGAAATAATGTCTTTGGCTCTATTTTTCTCATTAAAAATCCACCAGATCAAGAGATGGGGCATTTCTAACCTGAGTCCTGGTGATTGGACCCTCATATTGAATATTAAAAACTTATATTTTAAGAACGTGATTTATAAACTCTTCATTCAGTGTAGATTTGCTTCTCAAAATCAGCCCATTTTGTGACAAAATGGGCCTCTTAGCTGCCCCTACTCCCCATTCTTGCTCTAGTCAGTCATGACTTGATGGATACTTCATCTCTCCCAGCAGTGACAGTACCAATGAGTACATGGACATGAAGCCTGGCGTTTCTTATGTTGTCCCAACCAAGGCAGACAAAAGGAGATCGGCAAGAATAGGTGGGTACCCATGGAGGAGTGACAGGACTTTATTTACAGAGGCTCTGTCTTGTGTTGTGGATGTATGGTCGTTCCCACTAGGGTCCCCCCCGTGGCAAAGCCAAGGGTCATTGCTTTGAGTTTGCTATTGGGTGTTTGGGGATGGAGCATATGTTTTTCTATATGAGCATCTTAATGTATGTTTGGGATTTAAAGAACTAATTCACCGTCTCTCTGCCTGAGGTGCTTATGACCTAGCCCAGGAATGTCATTATTGATTTCTTTCCGCAACCATGGGGAGGTGATTGGCTTGCAAGTTCACGTCAGTCTTGGGTATTGTCATTAGCGCTGTGTTCTACCAACCTTTAAGGTTTAATTACACCAAAAATCCTTCTCTTCCTACCAGGCTCATACATAGAAAGAGATGTGACTCCTGCCATCATGGAGGATGATGAGTTGGCCCTGGACCTGGAAGACTTGCTGAGCTTTTCTTACCAGGTGGCAAAGGGCATGGCTTTCCTTGCCTCGAAGAACGTAAGTGAGAGTGATTCTCAGAAGAGCCCCCCTGTTAAATAAAGAACAGCATTTTAGAGCCCTAGTTAGAATGCAGAGTGTCATTTTGCAGTGTGGTAACCAAAAGCAGAGGAAATTTAGTTTCTTCATGTTCCAACTGCTGTCTCTTTGGAATTCCTGTTCTAATTTATAAGCTTTAAAGTGCAAACCTGTCTAAATGAGCTTTCCATGAATATTCTTTTATATGCAGTGAATTCATTTACAACTTTTGGCTTTAGGATATAGGATATGCTTCTAAAATAGAGAGATAATTATTTTAATCATCAAAAGCAGGCATGTACCTTATAGTAGCTATGCCCGGTGAAGCATCCAGTTGAGTTTTGTTGATGGCAGACCCTAAGTATTACATGTATGGCTTATAAAATATCAGGAAACAGGGGTCATGGAGAATAATAAGGGGCAAACAGTGGGGATTTGAAGATGTTGAAACCAAAATAAGGAATATGGATTCTGGAAGGATGAGAGAAATTCTGTAGGACTAACTGAATTTAGTAGACTGACTGAAGTGAATGAGGTCACATTTCCACCCTTAAGCATCATTGGTGACATTTCCAAACAATTACCACACGGATATAGGATGGCTGAAATAAAGACCATTTTCCTGTGTCCTTGGGAGATGTTAGATTGAAGCTGTGAAGACATTTTAGGAACTCTTTGAAAGAACACTCAAAGAGATGCATGCAAAATAAATTTTCATTTGAAAAAAACCCAATTTGACTATTTGTATTTTCTTGTGAATGAAAGCATTGCTGAGGAAGGGGGGCAGCATTTATTAGAATTGATTTTGAAAGTGATTATCGTAATTAGGGCCCTGATGATGTGAAACACAATATGTGAATGTCATTCAAGGTGTAATTTTGATTTTTATTTTTGGTGCTCTGAGTACTTTACACATAAGACAAAAGTTTTGGATTTTGTATAATATAAGCAGTATTTTCAGAATTAAAAATAGTTTTCATTCTTTGAAAGTTAAAATGAATTTTAATGGCTTTCTTTTCTCCCCCTTCCTAATAGTGTATTCACAGAGATTTGGCAGCCAGAAATATCCTCCTTACTCATGGTCGAATCACAAAGATTTGTGATTTTGGTCTAGCCAGAGATATCAAGAATGATTCTAATTATGTGGTTAAAGGAAATGTGAGTACCCATTCTCCATCTGACAGTTCTGCAAAGGATTTTTAGTCTCAACTTTTGATAAAAATTGTTTTTAGTGATTTTCGTAGTGTAAATCCTACCTTGAAATATTATGCATTATAGCAGTCAAATTAAGTATACTTCAGCAAAATTTGCATGGAATACTGAACATTACTACTACTAGCATTTGCTAATGTAGAATTCCTAATTCTAATTGTGTAATTATGGGGCATGTGAAGGAAACAGAAATAGCCTTAATTTTCATTATAGCCTGAGAATAGCAATGAACTTGATTCTGCTGAAGTGTAACAAATGTAGACCTGAAGGTCACAGTGGGAGAATTTTTTGGAGATTGACATTCTATGTGGAAATGATTAAAATCTAAGGGTCATGTTTGAAATTAGCTATATAGAATGTTGGATCTAATAGTCAATAGAGGCTTTTAAGTAGATTCATGAGTAGTAATTGGCTTGTAGAACATAGTGAAATTTTAAATGCTTTATTACCCATTTTTGTTGTATCCTCAAAACAAACACATATCTTAGAATGCAGTGTTTTCGCATTTTAATAGGTGGAGAGACTAAGGCACAGTATATTTTAGTGATTTTTATCTCAGATGAGATTAGTCAGTGGAGACTAAAAGTAGAGTTCATAGTTTTTAGAGCAGTATCCCATTGGTTTGTACGGAAAACCACTAACTTCCTGTGTGCATATATTCCTCTGTCCCTGTTTTTTCAGGCCCATTTGTATGGTCCAGATTTATTCCTGGAGGAGATTTTGGTTCCTTACGATAATGTAACATTTTCTCCATCATGGTGGCATCTCTGTTGGTAGACTCTGCTCCATTTCATTCTGTATAAGTACTGCTGGTTATATCTCCTGACATAAGCATGTATTTCTGAAAAGACTGTCCAGGCCAGGTACTATCATTAGGAGAACTGGTAAAACCAGCTTCTTTTCATTGTGGTGCCATAGTGAGAGGAAGAAGGAAAATTGGAACATCATTCCAGTCTCTAGATATTGACAAAGGGCAAGAAAAGTAGCTAGTGACCACTGGGCTTAGTCTCATTAAGTTACAAACTAACCTTATCATTTAGTCCCTGTGTAATATTTGGCCAGAATTAATCCAACAAGGGCCGGGGATTTAGCTCAGTGATTCCACTGCCTGCTTCACAAGAACAAGGTCGTGAGTTCAATTCCCAGTACCAAAGAAACAAACATTTAAGAAGAATTAATCCAACACCTTTATGCCGTGCTTTTTCTCCTCTTGCGAATAATGTTGGCACCTGCCTCATAAAGTTGTTGTGCAGTTTAAATTAGTTATTCTATATCAGGAGCTTCAGATGATACTGGGCATGTTCTTTGAATCCTTCATGGGTGCCTTGTTTGAATCTAAACAATCACAACAGTGGCTACACCATGGCATCTTATTAACTTGTTACTGTAATTGACAATGGTGGATAAGGCTCTCAGACCTTCCCATTGTGGACTTAGTTCAGTTCAGTTGAACTAACCAATCACAGACACCACTTTCACCCGGTTACTAGGTAGAGAATTTGAGAAACAAGAACAAGGAAAGGAGCACAGCTTCTTTCTGCCCCCAAATTGATGTCATAGCCGTCCAAGATCTTCGTGTTGGCTCGGGTCCTCTGAAAGTTCTTTCATTTCACATGAGGTTGTAGTTACTTTTTGGCTATGGGCCCTTTCTCACTCTAGGAAAGCTGATAGATCCCTTGTCTGAATACTAGTTAAATGCATATATTTATTTATTTATCTATTTATTTATTTATTTATTTATTATTTATATTTGAGATTGGGTCTTCCTGTGTAACTCAGGCTGGCCTCAAACTGGTAATTCTCCCACTTCATCTTCCCAAATGCTGGGATTAGAGTTGTGTACCACCATTATATAGGCTTCTCAAGAAAAGCAGTTATAATGGATCACAGTTCTCAAAATTTTAAAAAGTAAACTTGATATATCAATATATATGCTTCTTTATTACACAGAGCAACATATTCTAAAAACTACTGTAATTTCAAAGCAGTGGTGAACATAAATGTTGTTTTGAGATACTTATAAACACTAATAGGGTATGATGATATCTTTGATTATTACTGTGCTAGACAAAGTCACAGGCACTGTTAATAGTACTGTGATTTATTATCTTCATTTGTAATTTTTTAAAAAGCTAGACTTCACTTAGAAGTTATGGAAAATAAAGACTTTTTTGTGTGTGTTCCAGGTGTACATATAGGCCCCTGAGTTCAAGCTACACATAGTTCTCAGGTTAATAGCCCCATTTTGAACTTTATCACAGAACCTTGGAAAGCATTTTTTTTTTAGCTTCCTAAAATAACTTTAAGGTTAGAAAAAACTGTCTTCCCAGTTTTTGATCCTAGATGGATTATGAGGATTGATTTGGCTTTTTATAGTAGATGAATATCCGGAAATCCAGACTGTCTCTAAGAGGAATAGTTAGGGAAAGTTTGGCTTGACTTTAGTGGAGGAGTTGAAATGTGAAGTCCAGCCATTGGATGTATGCCCTGAATCTGCCAGCCACCACCACCAACAGACAGGCTCATCATCACTACTTACTGAGTTCTTGGTTTGCTGGCTGATTTTTCAGATATTAGTGAGTTGGGCAGTGTGCTAACCATTTTACCCATAACATTTCATTAATGCCATAAAATAACTTGTGGAGTTGGAAGTATTGTTTTTGTTTTACAGAAGATTCTAAGTTTTATTTACCAAGACTTAGGCAACATTTCCATTGTACTAGTGAGGGGCTGTTTAGATTGAATAGCAAAGAAAACATAAAATAAGACTAGAAATTGAAGGCAGAGTTGATATAGAAGTTCCATGAAGTGCTGAGGACCAGTTCCTTATGCCTGTCCACATTTTGCCATTCCTGGGTATAATCCTTGTCTTCGTGGTGCAGGATGACTACACATAGCCAGCCAGCCATCACAAACATAAGGCTGGATGAAGGAAAGGATGCTGCCAAAAATACAGCAGAGAGTACACGCCTTTGTGTTTTAAGGAGGTTTTTCTAGCATCCCACTGAGCTGCCCAGTCTCTAGCTGCAGAGCAGGATGGGAAATGCAATCCTAATTGTGGGAGGCCATTTTTCTGTTACTGAGAAAGAAGAGGAATATATTCAGTGGCAAGTAACAAATCTCTGCATCACTCAAGGCCAATTTTTGAGCCCCAAGTAGAGCCCAGGCCTGTCTGTGTCTAAATTCTGTCCTCTTAATCAGCATGTTATGCTAATGTCTCTTTATTTTTTTATTTATTTGGTTGGGGTTTTTTCTTTTTTTTTTTTTTTAAACAGAGTCTTGCTTTGTAATGCAGGCTGGCTTTGAACTCACTATGTATCCCAGGTTGTCCTTGAACTCAGGTTAATCCTCCTGCCTCTGCCTCCCAAATGCCGAGATTACATGCATATGGCATCAGGCCTGACTATGTCCCCATGTTTAAAATTAGCATAATATAATCACAAACCAGGCTGTGGGAATCTTTTGGTCTTGTAGATAAAGGTCTTGTGAGATGGTCCTCATTTTTCACCCTCAACCTGTTAGTAGGAACAATATCTGTAGGGGCATCTCTGGTTTACTTTTTGAAGTTTCTTCTTTAATAGGGCTGAACCTGTGTTCTTCCCTCCTAGGCTCGACTGCCTGTGAAGTGGATGGCACCGGAAAGCATTTTCAACTGCGTGTATACATTTGAAAGTGATGTCTGGTCCTATGGGATTTTTCTGTGGGAGCTCTTCTCTTTAGGTAAAACGATCCTTTCTAAAGACAATTTTGTTAGACTCAGAACATCTTCCTGGGGTTTTATTAGCATCCTGCTTGCTTGTAATTTCTGATTGTGGTTTTCCACCTATCTATGCCGCAGGAAGCAGCCCCTACCCTGGAATACCAGTTGATTCCAAGTTCTACAAGATGATCAAGGAAGGGTTCCGAATGCTCAGCCCCGAGCGTGCACCTGCTGAAATGTAAGGGCCAAGGAGAATATGTTTCTTTAGATAACATTTCCCCTTTTTGTTTTCTTTTTAAAGACAGAATCCCAGATGTTGAGAGTTTTCACTAGTACAGTTTGAAATGTCACTTGGTTCTTTTTGTGACACCCTGATCAAATGTCATTGCTATAGGTTTTTTTTTTTTCCTCATAATCTCCTGTTGCCAAGAATACAGAAAATCTTGACAGTATTTTACACAGCGTTTTATGCACATACCATTTCATGTGTCCACGTGCACAGCCCTGGAACTGTTAGGAGTCGTTGCAGAACAGGCACTGGAAGACAGGTCAAGGGCATCTAGGAGTGACAGTGGCTCTTCTTTTGCAGGTATGACATAATGAAAACTTGCTGGGATGCCGATCCTCTAAAAAGGCCAACATTCAAGCAGATCGTCCAGCTCATTGAGAAGCAGATTTCTGATAGCACCAATCATGTGAGTAGCTCGCCAGGCCCAGAGCTCCCTTCTCCCATTTCCAGGTGTGTGGTCCTCAGGATTTAAGGTGGAGGATTTGTCTCCTTATTTCTCTCCTTGGTTTAGGCTGTAAATTGGGCTTCAGGAGAGTGACTAAAATGATTCTTTCTGCTCACCCCTCCTGTTCTGAGCCAGAAGGCTGTGCTATGGGGAAGGGGATGTGTGGAGGACTTTGTTCTCAGAAGTGTGGAAGTGAAAGTTCCCATGAGGACTTGCCATGCCCCCACCCTGCCCCGAGTGCAGATCATGGGGTTGGTGTGCTCTCCCCCACTGGTCAGGGCCATTCATCCTTGGGGTGGCTGATATGCTGTGAACCAGGATGAAAGACAGCTTGTTACTGTGGTAAAGTCAGCCTCTTGCTCATACAGGCATAGCCAGCACATAGCAATAGCTGTCATGCCCACAAGCCACAGAGAAGCAGGAGTTGTTTGAAGTTGGGAGATCCCTCCCAGTGGTTTGGGGAGTGAGGGATGAAAGCTCAAATCCATTATTTCCTCCCCTAATTTAAAGGAAGAATTAACGATCCTTGCTTTGAATTGAATTTTTTTAAGCTCCCCCACCCCTGGGCTGTGTGCTTGGAGTGCTATTTCTAATGGCACACCACTATTCGGTACTTTCGGGTTACAGCTTGCTCTGTGGATTGTCAAGCCATATTTCAGACAAAGCAGTATTTTCCACCCAAGCGCTTTGATTCCTGAGTAACGACCCCTGGAAGAGCCATGGATTTCTCAGCAAATTACCCTGGCAGTTGGGGTGCAGTTGGCCATGGGGATTTGTAAAGACTTTCTAAAGGGTTAGATAGTTGTCGTTCCCAAATGGATCCCATCAGAAGAGTGAGACTTGCAGATGTTTTTGTGCCATTTCTTGTGAAAAGTTATTTCCTTGGGGAGAATGAGGAGTGAACCAAGCTTGTATTTGTTTTATCAATATGAGGTGGGTTTCAGCTGCCAAGATCTTGTAAACCACTTCTCTTCATGAGTCCTTGTCTGTTCTTGCTATTCTGAAGCTCTGCTGCTCTGTTCACTGTAGGGACTGCGGTATTAACTGTGGCCTTGTTTTCCCAGATTTACTCCAACTTGGCCAATTGCACCCCCAACCCAGAGAACCCCATGGAGGTGGACCGTTCTGTGCGGGTCAATTCAGTCGGCAGCAGCGCCTCCTCTACCCAGCCTCTCCTCGTGCATAAAGATGTCTGAGCAGGACGAGCATGTGGGGTCTGCCCTTCAGGAGCAATCCCCATTCTTTTGGCTTCCACAATGGTTCTTTTGTTTTCCTTCAACTTGCATCCTGTGCCAGGGTAGTGGATCCCCCACTGTAATCCTGACTTGATGAGCACACTTTAGTGGCTGATGATTTTCTTGTCATCAGCCACCAACCCATTGTAAAGGTTCGAACTGTATATATTCCCAAAAGCAAAGTAGCTCCTACTATCAACAAAATAAGTTCTGGTTTAGAGAAAGAGGGTGGAATGGGCTAGATGCCCAGATTTCTCTCTAATGTTCCTCCAATTCTGTTTGAAAAGTATGGTTGCTTGTTTATTTGAATAAATAAGAAGTACTCACATTTGGTTTAAAGGATCCAGGATGATGTGAAGATGCATCAGGATTGGCAATTGAAACCTAAGCCCTTTGTGTGGAAAATGGAACATTATTAGAACAAAGGACACAAGTATGAACATCTGGGCTTAAGAAATCTAGTATTTCATGCTGAGAATGAGACCTAGGCCAAGAAAAAGTGCCCCTTGAACATGAATAAAGACACTGCTGTAGACCACTGCATGAGCTTTTGTATACCTGACCTGGTTTTTAAATAGAATTTGCTACCAGGGGTTGAATTGGAGACAAGGCCTCCCTAGCCAGCATCTGTATATACTCATCTATAGATTGTGCGTATTCATACATTGGAGGGGGGAGACCACAAGGTTTATTTTCTGTGTACAACCCTGGCATTATGTCTGCTGTGTATAGGAATAGATTGAGCCATACAAGTTTGAAGGAAACAGTTAATACTGTTTTTTTTTTAAAGGAAAAAACATAACTACCAAGCACAGTCATAACAAAAACCTCCTCTTTTAGCCAATGAACTTGCCCTTTCGATTGTCCAGAATAAGCTTATAGCTTCAGAATAGCATTGTACTCAGTGGATTTGATGCTGTTTGAAGAAGTTACTGATGTACCACAGGATTCTTCATGAGTGAGGAAGCAGTGCTGTCTTAGTGTTTTTATTTATTTTCTTTGGTGGGGGGCGGTACCATGGATCGAACTTGGGCCCTTGCACTTGTGAGGCAGGTGGCAGAACCACTGAGCCAAATCCCTGGCCCACTGTCTTAGTTTAGATTCTTGTGTAGCAGGAAGTTAAAGTTAGATTCAACCTCCTTTATAGACATGTCCTGGACATCGTGCCAGTATCTCATATAAGTGTGTATGTGTGTGTTTGCATGCAGAGACATATTTGAGGGGTTGTTTTTGCCCTGAGTCCAGTAGGGTCCTCCAATACCCAAGAAGTAACTTGGCTTTCATCATCAGTCCTGTTTCTGTACATAGCTGTCTAGAATACTTCACCAAATGCTTGCGTATAGGCTTATCAGAAGTGGAGTGCTTAGGGGCCAACCTGTTTGCAATCCATGTGCACTTAAGGCACTCTGTTATTTATACTCAACATACTGTACGCATTCCTTAGGCCTTATGTAATGCCACTGTTCCACCCAAACATAGTTAAGTGTTACCCTTTAGGCTGTGGCCTGGATATTATTCTTTATAGTTTACCTTCTTTCTCCCCTCTCCTCATCTCTGCCTAATATTAGAGGTAAATGTGTACATGGCAAGATTTGTGTGTTGTCTTGCAAGATTCGGGTATGTTTCCTCCATGGTTTCCGCTTGTCCATCCCTTAGACTACATCTAAAGCAGTTTTTCCATTAATCTGGAAGTAACCATTTGCACTGGAGTTTGATGCTCTTGCACCTTTCCAAAGTTAACAGGTTTTGGGTTGTGTTGTTACGTAAGAGATTGTTGTTGTTTGCCATACTTTGTCTGAAAAATTCCTTTGCATTCCTATCGACTTTGATTATAGTAAGAAAAGTTAATTGTAGATGTCTAGGTACTTCAGGGGCACGTCATTGAGAGTTTTGTCTTGGATATTCTTGAAAGTTTATATTTTTATAATTTTTTTTTACATCTGATTTTTTTTGCAGTTGCTTAATGTTTGAAATTATTTTTTGGCTTTTTTTGTAAATATTGAAATGTAGCAATAATGTCTTTTGAATATTCCCGAGCCCATGAGTCCTTGAAAATATTTTTTATATATATATAGTAACTTTATGTGTAAATATATAAGCGGTGCAAGCTTAAAGGATGTTGTGTTTCATGTGTATTTTTCCTGATATGTTGTCCAATTGTTGACAGTTCCGAAGAATTCTAATAAAAATGCAAATATACAAATCCAATGGGATTTTTTTCTTTCTTAAAGTGCATTCACTCTTACAGAAAAGTTTGTACCAGTTTGCATAAAATACATGCAAGACTATCAAATCATACTAGAATTTATATGCTTAAAGATTCAATAGATATTTACTAAAATTTTTACTAGGCATCACATTTTCTCATTCTTACACCTGAGGTCTTTAAATTGAAAAATTAAAGTAGTAAACATTTTGAGAATTTGCGCATAACTATGATTATTCAGTTGATTCTTGTGAAATGACCATTTTTGTTGACATAATAATAGAAATTTTATTGTTGTCCAATCTAATGTACACGACTGGTTTCCTAAAAAAGACTGTCTAAAAATTAACTTGAACAGTAAAGTGGTGGCTAAAGTTGACAACAGGAATATAAAAAAAAGTGGTTTGTATTCTTATTGCCTTGGGTTTGGAAGAGAGATAATTTCATTATGAAATACTTCTGGTCTACCCTCAATTGCTTCTTACTGGCTTCTAGAATGGAGTTTATTGGAGGGTGGTGCATTGTGCCTTTGAGTTAGTTATTGTCCTGTTTCTGAAGCACCCTGCAGGGGCAGAAAGTTCTGTCCAGACCTTTGAGACCCAGATAGACACTGAGTTATCCTACCACCTTAATACCCTATAATACTATTAAGAAAGGGTTAGGTGCCCAAATATCATCATCCTCTGTAATGGACATGACATCTGCACCTGCAAGAGCATCTCCTGCGAAATGTGGGAAGGATTAAAAGATGGAGAGGAATGCTTTTCAAGTCAGGAGGGTTTGTGTGGCTAGGGTTATGCCAAATAATCGGTGAGAAATGGGCCCACTTTTCAATCAGGAGGTTGCTGTTACCACAGACATAAATGAATGCTAATTGACTATAAAAGAAAGGTGTCCTTTTTCTCCAAATATTTGCACTGTCATGTAGGGGTGTGTGTTGTTGCTGTGAGTGTGTGTGTGTGTGTGTGTGTGTGTGTGTGTGTGTGTGTGTGTGTGAAATCTTGAGTTAGAATCATGTTATCAGTCCTTTTCTGACCCAGCTTTTCATTGCAAAGTAGTATTGGGTGCTTTGTATCCAGGCTCAAAGTGCATTCAAATACTGGTGCCAGTCTTGTCTACCATTTGCCACTACTCTTGGTATTTTGATTCTGTAGCAGTAGTGTCTATTGCAGTGTACTAATGTAGGGATTTAAAGAACTACACAGTACTCAAAAAATTGTAGCTTTTGCACACCTGTAATCCTACCAATCTGGGAGGCAGAAGACTGCAAGTTTGAGTCCAACCTGGACAGTTTAGTAACTTATTGAAATCCCATTTCAAACAAAAATTTAAAAGGAGACAGTGAAGAACAAAAGGGCAGACTTATTGGAGATTTGGGGGTGGGGGATAAACAGACCAAAAATAATCAAGATATGTGGCTGTACCAATTTCCCAAAACAAATGTAACTGTTAGGTGTTGCATACCTACACTAATACAAATAAATGAAAAATAAAAACTTTAAAATGGGCTGGAGATGTAGATCAGTGCAAAGGCCCTGCATTCAATCACTAGTTCTACCACCACCAACAGAAAGGTAGCTTTCATTATGACTAAGTAAGCTTGTTAAGTAGAGAAGATGAGCAATACTCCAATACTGGTGTATCCCGCATAAAATCACATAATCAAATACTGCTTCTCTTAAATGCAAACAGCATTGTACTATTACGTTATTGAACTGACTTCTCTGTAGTGATCTATGTGCTTTTATGAAGCTTCCAGCATTTTAGCCAGTAATTGAAGCCTTTCTGTGTTCTTACTCCAGCCTCTCTTCTGGGGTCTCCTTCCAAATCAATCAGCCATGAGTGTGCCTCATACTCTTCTGGTTCCATTCTCAGACTTTATATTGTCTTTCCCAACAAACTTTTGAAAGCCAGTGAAATCATCTCAATTAGAAGTTGCCTCTGCACTCCCATAACATTCCATACTTCTAAGCTCTTACAATTATTTCTGCCATATACTATAGTTATTTTGGCTCTTGTCCTCTTTCCCATCCCTACTGTCCCCAGACTTGTTTCACTGGTATGATTTATTGCTTCAACAGTGTTACCTCCAATGTGACAAACCTATGGTATGTGTGCTTCAGTGGACTGTTTGCATCATGAAAAGATTTAGGCAGGGTGGAGGAGTTAGCTTAGCAGTTCTTCCGCCTGCCTCCCAAGTGCAAGGACCCAAGTTTGATTCCCAGTACCAAACAAGCAAACAAACAGATCTAAAAGATTCACCATTACCGGAAGACACTCAGAGGTTAAAAAGCCCAAGATCTTGCCAAAATTCATTAAGACTTTCCTAAGTTCACTTAGTGGTACTCATAGCCAGAAAATGCATTCAGACCTGCCTCTGCTCATCAGTGAGGGCCCTCCCACTTCCCTGTCTATTCAGGACATCACTCATCCACCCCAGTGCTCATCGCTTGAGCCCAGGTGCCTCAGGGCTGCCTCTCTGCCTTGTCCAGGGAGCCCATGCACATCAACTGGTATTGGCTGAGGAGAGACTTCCTTGCCATCCTTAAATGATGACCAAGTTGCTACATCCTTGAGATACAGGTGTTCCTACTGCCAATACCCCTGAAGTAGTTAATTAGTACTTCTTGAGTGGTTAATTAGTACTTCTTCAGGAAATAATTAAACATTCTATCAGTTGGGAGTGCAGGATAGCCATCTGGGAGAAGATGGCTCCAAGAAAGAAAACTCCAGGAAAGAAGCTTACAAAGTGCCTCATTTTACATTTAGGGATGGGAGGTGAGGCTTTGGTGAGAAGAGAAAAGGGAGAGTGTGGGGATGGTCCTTTGGCAGCTTTACTGAGGCCTACACAGCTGTTCAAGGGAATTAGGAGAGGTAAAGAAAGCAAGGGCTTGGGGGGAAGGGGAAGGGTGGGTAGGAAGGCCATGGCTGATGTTCCCTTTATGTCCCAGAAGTGGGGGAAAAGGAACCCAAGCTGCCAAGCAGAGACCCTTGGACCTAAGGTACCACCCCAGGCTTGACCTTGGAGAGGCTCAGTAGAGCCAGTGCTTGCTTATTTGGGGTGGGTGGCACAGGAGAGCTCTCGTGACTACCTAGGCTTTAGTTGGGCAATCTTCCAGTGAACATCAATAAAGGAAACTTTGCTACTATAGGGCTACCGTACTTCACATGGCCAACAGAAGTTTGATTGTCTTCCACAGTTTAGGCTGGGAGGCTGAGATCAGGGTGGGGCTGATGGGTCTTTCTGCCCCTGCCATTGTCAGGGGATATGTTTCTTGCCTTTCTTCCATTTCTGGGGGATCACTGTCAATCTTTGGCTTGTAGATCTCTGTCTTCACCCTCACATAGTGCTCGCCCTGGCTGTCTGTGTCCATTACCTCCTTTTTAGAAGAACATCAGTCACATCAGGTTATGGGTTCATTGTACTCCAGTGTGACCTCATCTTTATGAATTACATCTGTAGAGACTTTTTCAAATAGGGTTCTATCATAAAGTACAAGAGTTTAGGGTTATGACTTCAACAGAAATTTGGGAGGGACACGACTCAACCCATAATTAATGTCCCATGTCATGTCCTTAT